GTTTAATTAGGATTGGAATTATTTTTTTGTCACACACATTTCGAACCTACTATTTAACTAACTGACTATGTATGTAGTAAATATTCACCTTCTTCTAATCAGTGAGATTGATCGAGGAGTTAATTAATTGAATTGCATTGAATTGAGCCAAGTGTGGATGGAGCTCTGTCTCATTTTATGATCATTCCCATTGAGAAGGAGGAGGAGGTGGAGAGAACCTTGTGTGTAAATGTAAATATGTACACTTATTTACAATGTGAAAGTACTGCAAACAAAGTGGTGGTGCTGGTCGTGGTGGTGCTGGTCGTGGTGGTGAAGAAACAGTGTCCGCGGAAACCGTGGGGACATATGTGGATACTATGGTCCAGGCATTATAATTAAATTCATTTTTACATAAGGAATGCATATAAAAATGGCTTCGAGTAATTATGTATAATGCCTCGATGACATTGTCCCTCTGTCCCCTCCAGCTTCCGCGGTCACTGGTGGTGAAGGAAAGGAAAGTAAAGTAAAGAGTGGTACATTTTCCGATTGAAATTGTCCTGATTACATCTTCACCAAATAAACTCAGTGCATACATACGCCGAAATCCTGGTAGTAGAAGAGTTAGTCGAGTTAATAAGAGAGATTCTACTATATCCCATTAATTTTGTGCTAATAGAGTCGAGTAGAGACACCGACATTCCAATAATGAACTGGATCCACGGCCACCTTATTTATGTGCAACTTTGTCCCAAAAGTTTGCTTCCCACGAGTTAAGTAAGAACTTTGTCTTGTGTAAACAAATGGGAGACAAATGGATCCGAAAATTAAATACTTTTTCTTCTCCTTCTTCTTCCGGATAAGATTAATTCATGTATTTTTTTATCTCTGTTTATAAATAAGACGGAGAAAGTTGTCACAACAGGTTTTTTTGCGGAATGTGCAAAAGTTAAGTATGCATGTACGAATTTACATACATGACATATTTTTTTTTGTTTTGCAGAAATGTCACGATATTTAGTTGACACTTGAGAGAAAGAAACATGTAGTACATGCATACATACGATGAGACAAGAGAATATGTAGTGGTTTTGTTTTCTTGGTGGTCTGGTGACGGAAGAAGTGGTGTGGTTTGATTGGAAGGAGAAGTCGTCGTCCTTGTCTCTTGTTCTTGTCCGGATTTTGAACAAGCCTACTGGCTGCCATGCCACATTTAGTTTTCTCTCCTATGTATGTATGTGTGAGGATGGAGTGGATGGGGGCAATATTTTTTTTGTGGAGAGGAAAAATCCGAGAAATTCTGAATCGTATGTACGTATCTTATAGCGAAGGAGGAGGAGAAGGGAGGGAGAGGAATGATATAATATCTAAATTCGGATAGATATTCGGCTATCTGTCTGTTGTGTATAGGCTGGAATTCTCTGCTCTGCTGGAATTTTGTCCCCGGTTTATACTTATATAAGTGCATTTATATAGGTAGGTATGCATGTATGTATAGGCGGTCAGATTGGCTGGGTAGCTGGCCAAGAGGAGAGAGAAAAAAAGTAGGGGGACTCATAGGGTAACGAAACGATTCGTACATTTAGTATTAGTTTTTTAGAAAAATATTGAAGAAAATCTGGGAACCTTAGTCAACTAATTGTAACGCATTTCTAATTTTCTACGCAATTTTCGAAAAGTTCGATGTAAAGATTCAGATATTTTTTTACTCATAGAAAACACCGACGGAAAAGTTATTGGCTATTTAGCTTTATGCCAAATTAGGCTAACAGAGCTTTCTAATTTGCCAAATTCCCCGTAATAAACCGGATCTCATCTTCACCTCATATCCGAATTGGTTTCATGGCTCGTCCGCAATTTCAATATTGTTTGGAACGAAATGATGACATTGTATTGTGTGAGAAGGAGATGATGATGACGATCCTTCTGCTACATACGTATCAGTCAGTCCTAGTCCTGACGCTGCATGGGTGAGTCAAGTCAGTTCAGTGAGCGTGTAAAAAGTCGGGTAGGTTGGAGAGTGCATTTACCGGATGGAATAGAGAGGAAGAGAGGTGAGTAAGTGGAGACTGAAGAAGTGGAGGAAAGTCCCGAGAGATTTGGCCCCCCCTCCCAACGGAGAAATCAATACCACTGGGACTACAGAACGACCAATCCACACCATCCGCACACCAACCAACTATATATCCATCTCTCTCTATATCCTTAGTAGACCCAAATATGTACAAGTACAAGTCAACGCGAGAAAGAAGTTCGGAGAGAGATGTTGAAAAGTCGGGTTGCTTATAGGACCAGGAGGACGACGGGAAGGACGGGATGACGAGAAGACCGAGGTGGCTTTATGTATGTACAATGTGTGTAAAGAGAGAGAGAGAGAGATACGCTTAAAGAGAAGAATGAAGAGAGAGAGAGATATGTATGTGAAATAATGAAAAAAGAAGGAGAGGAATCAATCTGGGAGAGGAGATGACATGAAAAGAGAGAAGTGAGTTAACTGGGTGAAGAAATGGACAATTGAGTTTTTTTGGATTGATTCACCTGGTTTTATTTTGCAATTTTGTTACGTGTAATATTCTGATCATAATTCTGGCTGTTGGTCGTAAAACAATATCCCTGGTCGTCATTTTTAAGAATTTTTGAGCAGTTGCTAAGAAATGGTGCAAAATTTAGAGGAATAATTTCCTTGAATTTACATAATTTACAGTGCAGACCCCATATAGCCCGAGCCAGGGACTTAGTCTCTGACCACTCCGATAACCCCCAGTGGTCAACCACTTGACCGATTTCGCCAATCTTCAAACTCGTTTCCTAACTTTGTCCAATATGCATATGGTAAAAATTTCAAGTCAATCGGTTCAGTCGTTTTGGCTCTATCGTGTTTTGGGACGGATGGACGGACGGAAATTATGACGGTTCCTTAAGCCCTGACTCAGGCTAAAAATTACCGGCGAGAAACTGACGTTGAAAGCGATCTAATTCCAGTAAATTATTCCTCTAAATAATGCACCATTTCTTAGCAACTGCTCAAAAATTCTTAAAAACGACGACCAGGGATATTGTTTTACGACCAACAGCCAGAATTTGATACAGTAATAAAATAAAAAATGAGGCAATTCAAAGTCAATTTTTTACAACCATTTATAAGAATAATTAGCTTCCAAATTTTTGCAAGTTTATTCAGACCAAGGGCGTCTCTTTATTTTGTAAAGAAAAAGTTTGTAAAATTATTTTGCAAAATTTACTAATTTTATAAATAACTTCCTCCACTTTGGAATTATCTCGGGGATGTATTTAATTGTTTAAAGTTAAGAGAAATTGTAATTGGCGAATTGGTTTGGCCAAATTTTGCAATTTTTTTTACGTATTTTGCATACATATTTATGTACTAATTTACGTATCCCAATTTGCCTTGTGTGGTGGCACTAAAAAGAATCTTTTATTGATCTCCTCGTTCTCTGGTAAATAATTGGATTAAAATTATCTTTTGTTTAAACTGTGGGATGGGTATTAAACCGTAATTGTTATCTAAATAGGCTGATCATCATGAGTGATATCGGCTAAATTGCTTATTGCATCACTGCACGGGATTCTCCCTCCACTTATGGATAGATTTTAGTGGGAGACTGTACATTAATTTTTACGGTACACTGTGTTAAAAATGTGGTAGAGTGAGATATAAATACACTTTGTATTGGTATTGATTTGGTAATAATTTATTACTGGATTGGTACTAGTTTGTTTCTCAGTTGTAAATTTTTCATTACGACAAGATTTCTAAACGGTAATGCCCTTATTACCAGTGTCGGTAGAGTCATATACATAAATGTGTACTCTGGTCAGTAATGATTTAATACCAGTTTTTTAAGGGTGTACACTGTTAAAAATCTAGTCAAATATATACTCCGTAGTGGTACTGATTTGGTAATAACTTCCTACCCGATTGGTAGTAGTTTCTTTCTCCGTGGTAAATTTTTAATTATGTATATTAACTCAATATTACTGAACAGAAATACCCATTATTACCAGTTCCAGTAGAGTCATACATTTACATATGTACTCCAGTCAGTAATGATTTAATACCAGTTTTGTAACATCTAAATGAATCCAATCGAGTAGTGCTTGAATTTAAAAGGGTGGCTTTAATACTTACATTAGTTGGAAATTCTGGCGTGGAGTGGAGTGGATTGGGTTGAGTAGAGGAGTAGATTAAAGAAGGCGGTTCAATTTTTTTTAGGAAATGTATTATCTAACCGAGAAGAGAAGAGGAAAAGCATTTGCATAATGGGCGAGGGGAGAAGAGAGGAATGTATTTAGCACTGGATTGTGGGGACATTAACTACTCGGAGAGGAGAGAAGTTTGACATTTTTTTAAGCTGGAGGAAGGCAAGACGAGTTAAATAGTACAAAAATGTGTTTTAGAAGAATAAGAATAATTGGACGTGATTTGCACTTTTGAAACAATTTTTTTTGCAATTATGTGTGTATGTAAATCAATTGGTGATTTGATGATGTGAAATTTTGGAAAAAGTTCAGTTTTTTAATTGGGTGATGAAAACGGAAATTCGGTGGATAGATTTTCGGAATGATTTTCACGTGGTTTTGCACGTGTTATGAATTTTTAAACGATTGTGTTGTACAGGTAAATCAATTTTTTTTTATTTAATTCAAGATTTGGTAGATTTCCAAAAAGCGCTTGGTTTTTAATTGGACGAGGAAACGATGAAAATAAGAAGGATAGATTTTTGCAATAATTGCGCCTGATTTTGCACGCGTGACAAGTTTTTAAACAATTCTTTAACAAGTGCATGCATCAATGAATTCCAGATTTATCTATGCAAAAAAGTTGTTGATTTTAATCCTATAATTTTTCCCTGATTTTTGCATAATTTTTGCCTGATGTTTGCATAATTTTTGCTTGATTTTTACACCTTTTGATGATTTCTTATACTTAATTATTTACCATGTAACGTAATACTAGATTTATGAAGATGCAAAAATGGTCAACTTTGTGTTCTTACCTGTCGATAATTACGGGATCGGAAGGCGTCTCGTTACGGTTTCCACAACTTTTCTTGTCACAGCAGCGACTGCGATTAATTAATTAATTAATAAATTAAGTATAGATCAAAAATTAATTTAATTAGCTAATTATTATTAATTATTTCTGTATGTACTTACCTACACATTACTTCATGGGTTAAGAGGACTCGACACATTTCAGGATTTTTGTCTTGGCCTTCGTAAACGATTGCCTGAAATGGAAAAAAATGCGAAATTTTGTGTAAATAATTAATTCTTGTGGCCATCCAATTAAAAAAATCGGTATGTATCTTTAAATTTTATTTTATAAGCGTTGCAAATTTTAAACATTTTTCATATCGGGGTTAAAACTGGGCAGACGGAAATTTTTGCAAAAAATGTCTCGTTTATGAAAACTTACTAAATATTTTATCCATAAATGTATTTTAAAAAATTGATAATAATGCTAGTGATGAGCAGTGGCCGCGGAAGCCGTGGGGACACCTGGACAAATTAACATTTTAGGATTGGGGAGGGAAGGGTTTGTATAACATGGGAAAATTATAGGGACATCGAATAACCGTGGAGAGGCATTGTCCCTCTGTCCACAACGTTTCCGCGGCCACTGGTGAAGAATTTAATCCGCACAAAAAATCACACCTGTATGTATTTACGAACACATTTAATAAAATATGCACCTTTTAATTTTATTTAATTGGCGTTATAAATATTAAATATTTTTTTATATTGGGGTTACAAACGGACAGAAAAATTAAAGAATTTCATCGAAATGTCTTGTTTAAACGTCGTTTATTAAGATTGTAGGGAACATTTTAGCCAAAATATTATTAAAAATAGGTTATTAAGGACACGTCAAAATGTTCGTGATGTGCTTAAAAATCATATCTGAATTTACAAACACATTTAATAAAATATGCATCTTTTAATTTAATTTAGTACGCATTACAAACATTAAATATTTTTTATATCGTGGTTCAAACTAGACAGATAAATTTGGAAGTTTTGTCTGAATGGAACTTTTAAACGTCGTTTATGAAAATTTATGAAATATTTTATCTAAAAACGTACTAAAAATAGATTATTTGTGGTGTCACAATATTTAAATATAATTTTAATTTTTTTTAATTGTCGCGAATTTTCGTGATAACAAATTCGTGCAACTTTTCTTAGATTAATAATACCTAAATAAATACTGGATATTTTTAAAGTGCATTTTGCGACAAAAATCTGACCATTTTGAGTACTTATTACTTATCTGGGCTGGAAATCGTATTCATTTCGTTTGAATGGAACAAGGAAACGACGCGTTTGTGGGAAGTTTTTCTCTCGTATTGAATTGAGAGAGTAAGAGAGAGAGTGAAAGTGAGTATGTAAATTTGACGGAAAACTTTCTCTTTTACTTTCTCCTGAAGAACCGACCGCTATCGCATCATATCGTGTCGAGTTTTTTTTCTTTACTCATAATAAATTGTGTTACGTATTTTTCCACACTGTTAGAAATCCGGTATAGTCACGCAGGTATTGATTTCTCGGTATTAAAGTTGCTACCGCTTGGTATTAAAATTATACCGGTGAGTAAAAATTTGATACCGATATTGTAAAACTTTAATACCGGGTTATTACCACACGGTATTATTTATCAATACCACGTTGGTAGAGTCATATATGAATACCACCTGGTATTATTTTAATACTGGATTTCTAAGAGTGCATGTAAAAAAATTCTACGCACAGTTTACAATAAAGTTACGTCAGGAAAAGGTATAAACAAAAGAGGGAAACAAAGGAAAACTTTATGATGTACAAAGTTTGCAGAAATTGGTCATATTTTTCACAGATTTGTGCTACATTTTACTACATTTTGTACGGTTTTAATTTGTCACGGATAACCAATTCATCTTTAATACATTTTCGAATAAAATATTTCTTAAATTTTTGTAAGCGACGTTTAAGAAGGTAAATTTTGTAAAAATTGCGAATCTTAAAGACAATATTATAAACGGAGGAATTAACTCAAGTTGAAGTAATTAATTTAAAATACTGATTAGAGATGAAAATTTTTTGCCAATTTTTTGCATACTATCCTCGAACGAATCTTTCAGAAGGAGGAGTTTTTTCCTTTACTCATAATAAATTGTGTTACATATTTTTCCATGTAAAAAAAATTCTACGCACAGTTTACAATAAAGTTAAGTCAAGGAAACAACAAACAAAAATAGAGAAACAAAGGTAAACTTTATGATGCACAAAGTTTGCAGAAATTTGTCATATTTTTCACGAATTTGTGCTACATTTTACAACATTTTGTATTTAGATTTAATTGGCCACAATTCATCTTAAATACAATTGTGGATCTAATATTTCTTAAATTTTTGTAAGCGACGTTAAACCTAGTAAAAATTGTGATTCTTTAAGACAATATTATAAAGGGAGGAATTAACTCAAGTTGAGGTATAATTAATTAAAAACATTGATTAGAGATGAGAACTTTTTGCCAATTTTTTTGCACATTATCCTCGAACGAATCGTTCAGTTTTTTAAATATTGTTACATATATTTCCATGTTAAAATATTCTATACGCACAATTTATACAATAAAGTTCAGTCAAGCAAAGAACAAACAAAACACAGAAACAAACGGAAACTGTATGAGGCATAAAGTTTGCAGAAATTTGCAATATTTTTCACGGATTTGTGCTAAATTTTACTACATTCTGTGTGCGGATTTAATTCGTCGCTAACAACCATTGCATCTTTAATACATTTTATAATAAAATATTCCACAATTTTTTTTGTAAACGACGTTTAAACAAATCAAACTTTGTAAAAATTAGGAATCTTACAGACAATATTATAAACGGAGAAATTAACTCAAGTCGAGGTAATTAATTATGTGGGGATTTGTGTGAATGAACTCGTTGGATGGAAATGTTGCCGTAGGTGACCGTGGAAGCAGGGGATGAATGAGTGGTGGATGAGTGTTGGAGATGAGAATCAGTCGTGATGATGAGCACAAGTTATCACAATCAAAATAGTCACATTTACTTCAGTTAAAAATATATTGATGTACAAATTGGGGCGAAATTGAGACTTGTGGACTTGAGTGACAAAGTGACGTGGTCAAGGTACGTACAAAAAGAGAATGACAGCGAGGAGGGAGAAATGACCTCCTTTTATAGGAGACTGCTCAAGGTAATGGAATATTACAAAAAGGACAAAAGTAAAAATAAATTTGAGCAGAGTGAATGATTTGGACTGGAAAAGAGAATTGAACTGCTGATAGATAGGCAAATTAAACTGAGCGCATTGGCTGGCAAAGTTGACAAAATGGTCAACTACAGTCAAAATCTGAATTACATACACAATGAATGATAAATAAGAATATGGTCATAATCATAAAATTACATAAAGCAAATGAACTCAAACAAATTAAAAACATCGATTAGAGATGAGAATTTTTGCCAATTTATTGCATACTATCCTCGATTTTTCAGAACGAGGAGTCTTTTTTTTTCTTTCTCGTAATAAATTGTGTTACATATTTTTCCATGTTAAAATATTCTATGCACAGTTTACAATAAAGTAAGGTCAGGCAAACAACAAACAAAACAGAAACAAAGGAAAAGTTTATGATGCACAAAGTTTGCAAAAATTGGCCATATTGTTCACAGATTTGTGCCAAATTTTACCAAATTTTGTGCGTATGTTTAATTCCTCACTAACACCAATTCATCTGTAATACGAGTTTGGATACAAATATTTCTTAAATATTTGTAAACGACTTTTAAACAAGTCAAAACTCTTAAATCTAAATATCTCAAATCGAGATAGTTAATTTAAAAAATGATTTGAGATGAAGACTTTTTGCCAATTTTGCATATTATCTCGATCGAATCATCCGGAACGAGAACGAATAGTTTTTTTTCTCGTAATAAATTGAGTTAGATATTTCCCCATGTTAAAGAATTCTACGCACTGTTTGCAATAAAGTTAAGTCAAGCAGAGAACAAATTAAAAAATACAGAATCAAAGGAAAGTTTATTTACAAAATTTGTATAGAAATTATTCATATTTTTCACGGATTTGTCCTATATTTTACTACTTTTTTAATGAGGATTTAATTCGTCACGGACTTTACGCAAAAATCATCTTTAATATATTTTAGGGTAAAATATTTTGTAAATTTTTGCAAACGACGTTTAAACAAGGGAAAACTTGTAAAAGTTGAAAAACTTAAAGAGAATATTATAAACGGAGCAATTAACTCAAATCAAGGTTACTGGTTAACAGAAAATTTATTAGAGGTGAAAACTTTTTACCATTTTTTTTGCATATTGCTTGAAATTTGCAGAACTTTGTCATATTTTTTCGGATTGGTGCTACATTTTGTGTGGATGTGATTTGCAATTAACCGTAAAGCCGGACAGTTGACACACCTTTAATAAATTTTAGGTATAAAATGTTTCGCAAATATTTGCAAACGACGTTTAAAAAGACAAAGCTAGTAAAAGTTGTCAATCTTAAGTACAATATTACAACCGCAGAAATGAACTCAAATCGAGGTAATTAACTGATAAAAAATCGATTAGAGATGAAAACTTTTTGTGAATTTTTTGTATATTGTTTGAAATTTTGTATATGTTTTTGTGGAATTTTAGATTAAGTCAGGCAGACACAAATGAAACAGAAGAAAGTTCGCATTGTTAAAAGTTTGCAAAAATTTATCATATTTTTTACTAATTGCTGCTACATTTTAATTTTGTATGATTTTTTTGTGTGCAGATTTAATTTGTTTAATACTTACTACAGACACCAAGGGATGGAGATCTATTACCTTCCGTATTTTTTTTAAATAAAATATTTCATAAATTTGTATAAACGGCGTTTAAGACAGAAAAAAAGTTGTAAACGTTATAAATCTTACGATATTGTAAGCGCAGAAATTAACTCGAATTTAGGCAATTATCTAATGAAAAATTGGAAACTCTTTGCCAATTTGACCATATTATTTGAAAATTGGGTATAAACTTTTGTGTATGTTTAGCTAAATAAATCGTGTATACAATTCGATTACATAAAAATTTAACAAATTTCAAATAATATGCTAAAATTGGCAAAATCTTTTCGATGTACAATTTTTTAATTAATTTCTTACCTCAGTTTGAGTTAATATCTGCGTTTGTAAGATTTTCATGGACTTTTGTCTCTTTAAACGTCGTTTTAAAAAATTAGGAAATATGTATTTTATGCAAAAAATATATTACAGATTCGTAGTTGTTTAATGTCTGTGACGAATTAAATCCATACAAAAAAAGAAAGATCACGCAAAGTAAAATGTAGCACTCATCTGTGAAAAGTATGACAAATTTCGCCAACTTTGTACATCATTATAAAGTTTCCATTTGCGTAAAAGTTACAAATTAATTTGCCAAATTTTTCGTCTTATTTGCACAATGGCGTCTGGATTATAAATATTTTGCACAAAATAGATAATCGTCTCCATTCATTTTTTATTATGATGTGCTTTACGATTTCAGTATTTATTTTTCCAGGAATGGAAAAGCCGCTATTTAGTTTTGGTTTTAGTGCATGGGAGAAGGAATGAAATGATGTTGTTTTTATCTGGTAAATGAATATTCCCTTCTCCCCTCTTATAATTACCAGCACTCCGGCGCTTTCTCTCTCTCACTTTATTTTATGACTTCTTATCCTCTATTTACATCTCGCATTAGGACGAACGAGAGAGAGGAGAGATGGAAAAGAGTAAGTTGCATCTGTAATAATAATGCGGCTTAGTTAAGTCGATTTGGATCTCGCTTTGCCATAGCTCGCTTTTCTATCGCCTCTTCCCTCTTCTTTTTCCAAGGGAGAGGAAGAGATTGTACGTATGAAATATTTAGTTGGAGGAGAAAAGAGGAGAAGAGAATTGAACTGATCAGTTTAGCCATAACGAAGTACCTCTTGATGGGTGACGTTTACTTACTTAATGAAATTAAATATATTTACGGGGTGGAGAAGGAAATCCAATGAGAGGATTGGAAATGGATGTTAAAATGTGGGGGGAAAGAAAAGTATTGGTCTTTGGTGGGTAGAATTGTACAAAGAGTAGAGTACGGATATGTATTTATGTTTGGCTTGATTTGAGAATTGATTAAAGTTTGGTAAGAATTTGGGGACAATTTTATCCCGAGTGAAATAATAAATTTGAAATTTTCATGACAATAAAGCAAAAACTGGTAGATTTGTACGCTAAAAATAGGAAATTTCGAGTAAAATTAAAATTTGGTAAGAATTTGAGGATTACGAATTTTCATGACAAGAGAATAAAATTTGACAGATTTGTACGCCAAAAATGAGAAATTATTATTATGGTACTTAAATGTGATGAAAGGTAATATATGTTTTGTCCGGTAAGTAATAATCAGAATATGGATATGTCAACTTTTGCAAACCCGATTTTCGTTCGAAATGTTTTTAAAATGTTGTAAAAGTTTAGAAATTTAGAAGTTTACGGATTTTACAAGGTAACCAAGGCCTCATTTTCATGCCGTGTTCATGGTACAGCTCTTTTTTATGGGAGTGTGGGAATTGTGTGGAGAAAGCACACGGGGAAAACGGAGTGGTGGTGGGAAAGAAGAAGAATGAGATAGGAGGAAGTGGGTAGTCGTGGTGTAATGAGATTAAGGTTTTGCTCGACTCTACACCCCAACACAAATACAATTAGCCCCCGCTCCACCAACAATAAGACGGATGAACAAAGAGAAAGCGAAGAGAGAGACAAATGCTCGGAAAAGGAGATATTTAGCTGTTAAAGGAAGGGAAAAGTACGTACCTGTTTTGTTACGGAGTCGATTAGTCTGACGTAAATATCTTGTTCTTGTCGGATACCTGAAATAATGCAAATGGGACAAATTGAGTAAAATTTGATAAAGATGGGAAAAATTTGATAAGGTTTGCGAAAGTTTGATGCAATGTAAATTGTGTAAAAATTGATGAAATTTTGTCAAACTTGTTACGATTGTGTGAAATTTTGTAGAATTGCTTAAAATTTAACAGAATGAAATTGTGTCAAATTTGTTTAAAAATGTGTCAAATGTAGAATTTACTGGAAAAATCTGAATTCTGAATTCACAATTGTGTAAAATTTGGAACGTTAAAATAGAACACAATTTTGTAAAAATTTCTGTAAATTTCTGAATTTTTTACTCACCATTAGCGTAAAGTAGTTGTAGCCTATACTGAATACCATTATTCGTCTTGGCTCCATCCGGCTCCTGTAAATAAAAAAATGAGTGAAATTGCTCATGTGATCGCAACTTGATTAATTTCGTCATGATGCGATTACGTTCCGTAATAAGCCCCAAAATTCAATTTGGAGCTTGAGAAAATTTAAAAACTGTAGAAAAAAATTAGCCAAATTAATTTGTCTCGTAATTCGTCGATGCACAGTTGAAAAAAAAATTAATTTCGTCATGATGCGATTACGTAATAAGCCTCAAAAAGAAGGAGAAAATTTGGAAAAATGTAGGGAAAAATTAGCCAAATTAATTTGTCTGGTAATTCATCGATGTCGTACAGATGATATAAAAATTGTCCTGTCATTCATAGCTGGGGACTTGACTTTGTGGAATAAAGGACTTTTTTTGGGCCTGATGGGAAGCTGGGTTGGATGTGAGTAATACGAAAGTAATCAGATCAGAGTTTAATTGGGCGATGGAAATTGCCTTAATTTGAATCGAAGTCATCCCAGCGGGATATTTCCAGGAGGGAAGAAACCATCATTATTAGCACCGGGGAAGGAATAAAAAGTACAATAAAATTAAGCGGTTGTAGAAAAAAGTAAGAGAGTAAGTCTCCGAGTTGTGAAATTTTGAGAAAATGAAAATTAGGAACATTGTTTTCAACGAAGAATCAAAGTAAAAATGTGAGTAATAATTTTCCAAGCTGAGAACTGGTAGTTCTGAAATTTTCAGAAAATGAGAATTAAGAATTTGGTATTTTGGGACGATTGGAAATAAAAATGGGAATAAAAAAGACTGATAAGTTTCTGAGGCTTAAAATCTTATTTTCAAAATTAAGAGCTTGGTATTTTTAAATAAATACAAATTTTGCACAATAGAACTAAACATTCAAGTAAAGAATAAGTTTCTGAGGTGTGAAATTTTCAGAAAATGAGAATTAGGAAGTTTGTGTTTTTCGACGAATGAAAACGCAAATTTGAGTAATATGTTTCCGAAATTATATTTCTCAGAAAATGGGAATAATTAGGGAACTTACTTGGTCTTTTTCGATGAATCCGATGAAAACTGTGCGTTCGATTTCGATGGGTTGTCCTGCCCGGTCGTAAAGGGCGATTACAAAGTGGAAGAAATTCGATTTGCGAAGATTCGAGGGTGGCTGCTTCTCAAAGTGAGCTCGTCCCACGCCCAAACTGAAAATTTTATGAAATTCCGAATTAAAGTTTGCAAAGATCTTACAATTGTCTCTTATCCCTAGTTCTCGTAGTGGAGAAAATAATTTGTGCACGTTCTTTGTACCGATTTACAGATTGTTAATTTAGAACCAAAGTTCATACACGTTGTATTGTACCGATTTACTCGCAAAAATTATATTTAATTTTGCAAAAATGTTGGCAGTTTATTAATTTTCTAGATTTCGGAAGAAAATATAATTTGTACATGTTTTTTTGGACCAATTTACTTGCAAAAATTTCAATAAACTTTACAAAAATGTTTGCATATTATTTACATGCTCTTGATTCCATAAAAAAATAATTTGTATACATTTTTTGTATCAACTTCGCAAAATCGCAAAAAGTAAAACAAAATTATTTGCAGATTATGAATTTTCTGGATTTCGTAAAGAAATAAACTTTCTTTAGTACCGAGTTGCTCGCAAAAATCGCAACAAATTTTGCAACAATGCTATTAGATTATGAATTTTGTTGATTCCGTAACAGAGAAAAAGATAATAATTTGCACAGGTTTTTTGTCCCAATTTGTAAGTGGCGTTAATCATTGTCTAATTTTTCCACCTTATGGCAGCAAGAAAGCTTGGCAATGGAAGGGACGTAAATCGGGAGTAAAAGCAGCAAAGGCAGCAAAAGGAAAGGAATGGCGATTAAAAGGAGCGACTGGGTCTAAATGGTCAACCCATTATTGCATTATTGCCCGTAGTCAGTGGATTTTCCTCACCACTTCCTCCATGCCCACCAAGCAGTTAGTCGGCTTAAGACCAGGACAAGAAAGGAATAAAAATAAAAAAAGTGTAGTTTGTTCGAAAAGACGACAAAGACTAAATACGACGTTTGGATGCTTTCACCAAATGTGTTGCTTTCACTGAATTTTGGAAAATTTTGCGGTTAGATTTCTGATTTCACTGATTTCCTATCGGATTTCTTCTTTCATTAATTTCCAGAAATTTAAGTTAGATTTTTGATTTCACTCATTTCTTAAAATTGTGTAGCTAACTTGACTTTTAACTAATTTCTAAAAAATTTTGTGGTTCGATTTTTGCTTTGACAAATTTTCTAAAATGTTGTGATTGGATTTTTGCTTTCACCAGTTACTAAAAATTTGTTGTGGCATTTTCACTGAAAAATTGAGGAGATAAATATTAAGAGATTTTCGATTGAGGAATTTGCAAAAATTTTTGTTGTACTTTCAATAATTTGGATTTTTGATTTTAATTTAAAAAAACATTGCTTGATTTGTTTTAAAAAATTATGAAAATTAAGAATTGAGAGAGAAACTTGAGACATTTTGTTCCTGTTTTCACCAGATATTGCGGTTTCACTACTTTCAACTTTTTTTAAAATTTCCCCATGAATAAAAAAATATGGCTTGATTTCCTTACAAATTAAAATTTCCTAAAGTATCCTTTAAAAAAAATCGGATATTTTTAATTGGGAAATTTGCGACGGAATTTTGTAAATCGTAAGTAAATGACACGATACGCGTGTGATGCCCACTTTCTCCGAGAGGATACATGCTTAAAACGGATTTTTTTCTGCTTTCTCGCGTAATTTCTTTGTGTGCAGTCCAGTAAGTTACACATTGTTCTTCTGGCTTTATTTAGTTTCTGGGAGGAAGATTCATTGTCTTTTTTTTTTATATAAGGTATGTATCTATCCGTAAGTAAGTAATGTCCTATTCTCTTCTGTGATCGTGTTTGGTTAGTTAGTTTGGTGGTGGTGGTGATGATGCGGTGCCATTTGTGTGTTGAAACGTTGCAACTGTCTTGGCCAATTATTCCCTTGATTCCCATTATGAAAAAGGTTTCTTGGGGTGAAATGAGTCGATTGAGAGCACTAAATTACCAGACTTTTTCCTTTTTCCATACAAATTGACGTCATTAAAGAGGACGCAGCAACGGAATGGGATGAAAACTAAAGTTTGGCTTTATTGGACGGAGGTCGGTGGGGATGAGAGAAAAGGTTTTGGGGTATTTGATTAGAGAGTGGAAATGATGAAAATGGATGGATGGACACAGTTTTAAACGGGATTTTGTGATGGTTGGAATTTTAGATAGTTTTTGAAGAGGAACTTATCTGTTAAATATGGTGCTAAAATTTGGTTAGGATTATTTAAAAGATTTTAAAACAAGGATTTTTCACAGTTTTCAGAAAAGAAGTAAAAAAAGTATCTTAAAATGTTTTTTTTGTCACATCACGCAGATAAGATACATGGACAAGATGTGTACCATTCGTTTACATGGAAGATACAAGATATGTACTTATCCGATCAGGCAATACATGACAAAGATACTGAGACAATTCACGCAGTCATTTGTAACTTTGTAAAATCAGCAGGTTTTGTAAAATAATTTTACAAACTTGTATAAAATACTTAAAGAGACCCGGCCTGGATCTGAAGTTATAAGTTTACACAAAATTTGGAAGCTAATTTTCCTCGGAAATATTTATAAAACTTTGTAAGCGATTCAAAGTTTAGGGATTTTACGGTGTTACAAAGGACTGTGTAAGTTGCTTCATTATCTTGTATCTTCCTCACCCCTTTGATTTCAGGTATATTTTCATGCAAAAGTTTCCAAATTTGCGCAAATTATTTGTTGGGGATGAAATACGCATCAATTTAGAATAGTGTATCTTAAGGAAACTAATTACTGGTAGTTTTCAGGGCCACGTGGCCATCTTAACGGTTGCCATTAATTATTATTAATCACTATGCGCAATCTCACTTTTACATAATTGGGAACGGAAAGAAACAAATCTTTGTGGCGAAAGTGTTGTCTTAATTGATCCGAAAATCCTCTAAATGACTCCGATTCAATTGTGGAGCAGGTATTTACGCAAAGTATTTACGACGACGACTCCTGGAAAAGGAAAGCAATTAAGCGGACGAGAATGCAGATGTGGTTTGTGATAAATTTTAACTGAATTAATTTCTTAGTTAAAGGCGATGGGGTAATTGTGATAAGAATAAGAATTATGCAGGAAGAGAAGAATTAATTAAGGAGGACTTGATATGTAGATGAAATCAATTGGGGCAAGGTGAGATTTCAAAATATTTTGAAGAAATTGGAACATTTTCTGAGGGAAATTTATTTGAAAATGTGCCAATTAGCCCCATACCTGTTCACTTTCATTCATTTGAGTGATTATGATGGTGAGTGGTAGTGAATGAAAATGAATTTCCTATGATTTGAGTGAATATGATTGAAAGATTTCGTCATTTCAGATGACTGACTGTGAATGAAAGATTTCTCACTCATTTCATTTTTCACCCTGTGCTTAATACATGGGACGAAGTAAGAAATGAAGTCAGATGAAGTGAAATGAAATGAATTTGAAAGAAAATGATTGAAGGTGAATGAAAATCTTCAATCAGAAATACACTGTAAATAAAGTTGAGTAAAATTGCCACCAAAGCAACTATTGAGTACAATTTACCCTGAGAAAGGTAAAATTTACTCAAGGTTGAGCAAAAATCTTTCAACCTTGAGTAAATTTTACCTTTCTCATGGTAAATTTCACTCAATAGTTGCTTTGGTGGCAATTTTACTCAAAATTGAGTAAATTTTAATCAAATTTATTTAGAGTGTAGGGATAACTGAACTTTGAATGAAATCTAAATTATTGAACAGGTATGATTAGCCCTGAAAATGTGTTATCCATGACGCATCTGCTTAATGAGTGTTATATATTGTAAATTATTATAAAATTTCGAAATTGACGTGAAAGTCCTACATGCAAAAATTATTGTGTTTTTGTCTTAAAATCCATTTAAAAATGTACCATTTAACCCCAAAATTAATGTGATGGCAAATTTTTATGAAAATACGAACTTGCCTAAAATTATTTACTGTTATGGAAAAATTAGAGCGTTTTTTGGGCAAAATCTATTTAAAAAATACAGTCCCATAAAATTGTTTAAAAAATCTGCTCAACGACGAATGTAATGGCAACTTTTATGAAAATTATGAATTGACGTGAATAAATGCGAAGTACATTATTATGCAAAAATTGGTACATTTTTAATGCAAAATATATTTAAAATGTGCAACGATGCGACAACACGACGAATTTGCTTAATGAGCAATGTGGGTAAAATTTTGAAAAATTTTTAATTGACGTGAAAGTGTGAATTATTTACTCTTCTGCAAAAATTAGGACATTTTTAGTTCAAAATTTACTAAAACTTGGCAAACCCAATCAAATGAAATGAATGATTTAATGATTTTGTAATTGCAAATTTAAAAAATTGATAATTGACGTGAAAGCGAGACTTGTAACTTTTACGCAAAGTTACAGCATTTTTTTTACAAAATGTATTAAAATAGTATCATTTAGCCCCCCAAAAAAAACGAATCATGAATCTACTTAATGACGAATGTGATGGTAAATTTTTATGAAAATTATGAATTGGCGTGACAATGCGATTATACTCTTATGCAAAAATTAGTGCATTTTTAAATCACAATTTTATCTAAAAAATGTGCCAGTCCTAAGCAAAATGATACATCTACTTAATGACGAATATGATAGGAAACTTTTTAAAAAATCTGAATTGACGTGAACGTACGGATTTATTTATTCTTATGCAAAAATTAGTGCATTTTTAGTGCAAAATGTATTAAAATAGTGCAGTTTAACCCTCAAAATTGATGCAAAACATTATGGATACACAATTCATCTATTTAATAACGAGTGTGGGGCAAATTTTTTTTACAAAAAATTGGAATCGACGTTGAATTGTGGCTTGGAACCAAAATGCAAAAATTAGTACATTTCTTGCGAAAAATGAATTAAGACAGTGTCATTTAGCCCGGCCAATGCATGCCGGATATCTAGTTACACTGATGCAAAAATTATTGCATTTCTCGTATAATTTATTACGTAATACCGTTCTATTTACTGCATTCAAAGCCCATCCTTTATCTACTTAATGACAAAGGTAATGGTAATTTTTTCAAAAAATTCTTAATTGGCGTGAAAGTCTTCTTGTGCAAAAATTAGTGCATTTTTTTGTCAAAATCTGTCAAAAACAGTGCCATTTACCATTGGTTTTTTTACTTTAGCCCTCAAAAAAGCGAGTGAAACTTGTCATCTTTGTTCGTAATCTGGACTAAATTTCTTAGAGAAATTGTGAATCGACGTGAAACTGTGGCTTTTCTAGTTGTGCAAAAATTACTGAATTTGTGTGCGAAAACTGTTAAAACATAGTGCCATTCAGCCCACAAAATACATGCCAGATGGATTCATCTAAATGATGAATGTTATGATGGCAAAAATGGGAAAGTGAGACTCTTACTCTTATGCAAAATTACTGAATTTTTTGTGCAAAATCTGTTTAAAGAGTGACATTTAGTTGACCAAATGAATGCAAAACTTTATATAATCTAGACACTTAACGATAAATCCAATTTTGCAAAAAATTTCGAATTTGCGTGACTTACTTGGTCTGGTCGACGATGGAGGGTTGCATCCAAGGTCTGGGTGCCAATTGGGACGATAAGGGTTCCTCCTTAAGACTGGGACCTCGTGGCTGGTGACCCCCGAGGTCTTGGTGGTGCAGCCCGAACATCATCATTTTGACCACCACGATTTATTTTAATACTTAATTAATTATTCACAAAATTTCCAGTTTTATCTTTAACAAAAAAACGTTTAACAGTTCATGATAGTCTCATTGTGCCCCCAGTTCAATCAATGTGTGTATACACTGAAGAGAAATAGGTGAGTTTTTTAGGGGGTAAGTTAGTTAGTTATTGTTATGACCGTGTCGACTAATCAGTCAATCAATCCAAAGTTTTATGGGTGCTCGACGAGATTGAGATTCCACAGGTTGTGTGGTTGTGATGGATAGTAAATCAAAGTGGGCAACCGGCAAACTTTTACCTACGGAAAGTCCGTGGTACAGATGCTAAAAACGGGTAAGTTCAGCAGCTCTCCGAGGAGAGAATGAGACGAGATTCTACTCCACGTGCAAATCCGGGAGACTTGGGATTTTCAGAGTTTCACACTGTTTCCGTCGCACTTTGGGAAATTTTGAGAAATTTTTGAAATTTCTGAGCATCCAAAACTGTAGAAGTCTTAACAACACTTACGAGTTTTACACTGAATTTAACTTGAAAGTTTTTGGATTGGTGGAAGGGTCGTCTTTAACTGATTTTTTCCCTGTTCTTTGATTATTTGTGGGAAATTTTGAGAAATTTTGATAATCACTGAAATTTCTGGGGATGAAAAACTATGGAAGTTAGACACTTAAGAAATGTGTTAGGTTTGGGCTGTTGGCATAATTCAAGTTGAAAGTTTGGGGTCGTTTGTAAGTGAATTTTTTGGTACTTGAGGGACCAATGTTTATTTAAAGAGTTTAAAGTATTAACACGGTAATTTTTGGGGAAGTAGATTCAAATTTTGGTAGGATGGCGTTAAGTTGAGATGAGGAGATGAGGAGATGAGATGAGGAGGGCAGTGTGGGTAATTGGAGCGTCTTGGGACACTGCGATGAGACTTGAAGGCTCAATTTGCCCTTTTGTGTGAAATTTTCATAGAGAGTCTCTCGTGAGGGTCCCTGTAGGCTTTCAAACCTCTCTGGTGACTGGGAAAAACAGTGGCAAAATCTCGCTTGGGGTTTCCTACCCAGAGAGAAACAGAGAGGACTGCCTCCCAGAAACGGACGCCCCTTCCCCTATCTCACCCGTGGTAAAGGAGCAAAGGAAACCCGGGTTTCCCCCGCTAAACATTAGACATGATCGGAGACCAGGGAACGGAACTAGGAGGATGGTATTCCCTTTACTTGGGAGAGTGAGAGAGGGGGGCATGAAATGGGACGTGGTAAAGGGGAGAGAGATTGTATGGAATTTTGGGGGGAAGTTTGTGGGTAATTTTGTAGAATTTGGGTGAAATTATGTGATGAATTCTGCAAAAATTTGGGTGAAATTTTGTGTAGAATTTTGCGATGAATATTATTGTCGGAATTTGTATGAAATTTAATGGTGAATTTTATACAATTTGTGATTTGTGCAGCATTTTTATAAAATTTGCATGAAATTTGTTTGGGATTTTGTGTGACATTTTTGAAATTTGTATGGAATTTTGTGGGAAATTTTATAAAATCTGGATGAAATTTTATGGTGAATTGTGCACAATTTGTGTAGGATTTTATAGTGAATTTTGTAAATTTTGTGGTAAGTTTGTATGGGATTTCGGGAAATTTGTGTTGAGTTCGTATGAAATTGTTGGGAATTTTGTAAAATTTGTGCAGAATTTTGCTGGGAATTTTGTAAAGTTTGTGTAGATGAATTTCATGAGGAAGATTATACCGGAAACGTGCCGGATGGACCAACCTCTCTTGAGGGAAGCAGTTTGTATGACTCTTTCATCCATCTAATGCCCGGTATATGTAGGGAGCTGCTGAAAAAGCACGCCTACAGGAATCTCACAACGTGGAAACGTCTCCTTTTTTCCCATGTTACACTTGCCTCTTATTAATCCCGTGTAGATATGAACGTTGTTTTTGTACACCCCAAAAGGAAGAAGAAGGGATGTTGGCAGCTAAAAAAGCCTGGCCGGCTGCTTTCTCTCACTACATAGAGCGACGAAGAAAGTACATATAACCCGAAAAATCATCTGAGGTGGGTGACAAAAGTGTGAAGTGAAAAGAAGATTAGAAGGATTCTTTGTTAGTGGATTTTGTGCTAATTTTGAGGGAATTGTGATATCGCTTGGATGCATAAATTTACAAGTTTTACGTAAAATTGAATACTTGTACTTATTCCTCTTGTTCGTGATTCTTGGAGATTTTTAAAACAATTTGAGGAAAATTTTGCAGAATTTCGTACGAAAAACGTGTAATAAACTAGAATAAATTGACCCGGAGAGACAATTGGATTCGAAAATATTTAAATTTTTGCAACTGCTTATTCTTCGAGTAAATATTTTTTGTTTATATTTACAAAATTTTATCAAACTTGGGACATAATTTGGACGGGATTACAAAATTATTAGTTCGAATTTTAAGATGTTTCTATCTTATAATTGACTTTTCATCATCCTTGGAATTAATATTTTTCACTCTATTGGTGAAATTTTAACCGAATTGAGACATTATTTGGACATAAAATTATACAAATTATTGTTGAGAAATTGACATTCCAAAATTAGTAATTGGTTGGAGTTTCTATTTTAAAATTGTGGGTCTGAGAAGTGCATACCTTAAGAGAGAGAGAGAAGTATCTTCTTTTGTGTGGTGACGGTTTGTGGGTTGAAGAGTAATAAATAAATCAATAACGATTGTATAGAAAAGTTGACACTGTTTACCTGCCGAAAAACCTCATGTTTGACAAGTAAATGGACTCCATCCAGGAGGAAATATGTATTAGTATGCATATTTATCTTCGTGTGTACATAATTGTGAGATTGGAATGTTAGGACAGGAAGGAATTTTTGAGATTTGTACATAAATAATTTAACCTAAATTCCAACGGAGTGTGAAATTCTCACGGTTTTAGATATGAGAAAAGGCAGATTTAGAGAATGTGTGACAGATGAAATTTTGACTCTGCATTTTGAGAATTGATAAAAGTTAGAGGATCATGAATTTAAGATTTTGTAGATGTTTGACGTCGTAGTTGTGAACATTTTATTAAAAGTGTAACTTTCAGAAGCTTAGGTAAGTTGACGTAGCTTGCTTGGTACTCCTGAAAACTGTGGATTAAAATCGTACTTAAGGTTGAATAACTTTTTAATCTCAGACGACTCCACCCGAATTCAATATTGAAATTTTTAAAATGACAAATTTCATGAGTTTGGAGATCAATGTAAATTTCCACAATTTAATGTAAAGCTTATTTTTGATATTTCAAAACTATTGATTTTAATAAAAAAGTGCTACTTCATTTTACGTTTTTTTAATAAAATAAGTGTCCTCAAAAAATGAATTTGTTTTTCAAATCGATTGTTTTGTTTGTACTACCATAAGTTAACTTTGGTAGAAAACGAAGTAGAAAACGTTGCATTTATCTGAAAACTAGTGAAATTGATGGCATTTTAGAAATTTGTACTTAAAGAGATTGACTCGGGGTATTGAGTGTAAGATTAAAAATCTATTCTACATAAAATCGTGACCCTACATATGTAACTTTAAAGTCAAGTGTGTCACTTTGTTTGAGTGATACATATTTACATACTCGTTGGTGACATGTGTATTGTGTGTCGACATTGTTTTCGTGACTTAAGGGTTGTAATCCTTTCCACATGAATGGTTATACACGCACACTCTGCCACTGTCCATTAGGTTAAAGGGACAGCGGGGGATGAAGGGTACATAGTAGCCCCTTAAATCGAGGATCCTTTAACTCCCTATATTTACATTTACATATGCATACTTATCAGGTAGATATTTTGACATGTAAGTATCATTTACACATGTGGGAAGATGCATGCCGTCCTCCCGCTGTGTAATTGTGCATGGTTTCAATATTGGAAAAATTTTAAAGTGCGTTGTGTGGTCAAATTTGAGGAATGATTGAACTGTTAAAAATGAAAGTCTTGCGTACCGTACAGGTAACGGGGCTTGACCAAGGAGCGTTATTATATGGGGTCTAAAATGTTGTTGTGAGAGGGTTCGGTAGTAATAAATAAATTAAGAGCATGATCGTTCCTGAGCAATTTATAGATGTGTGTACGGGAAAGGGTTGACTGTTAATTGTGACTTTTGTCCCAAATTTTTGTGGTAATTTTGGATTGTTTGAGTTTACTGGATTTTATGCAGATATGAATATTTTTAGGTTATGATTTTGTCTCAATTTTGACGTATTCAGTTTTTTTAAAGAATTTTGTCTCAATTTGGACATGTTTTGGTTAGTTTTTCTCGATGCAATTTTGTCTCAATTTTGAAGTAATTTGACATATTTGCTTAGTTTTTTGAAGAATGTTGTCTCAAATTTGACGTGCTTTAATCTATTCTTTGTGCAATTTTGTCTCAATTCTGCAGTGTTTTGCTCAGTTTTTTGAAGAATGTTGTCTCAATTTTGACGTATTTTACTCAGTTTTTTTTGAAGAATTTTGTCTCAATTTTGACGTATTTTACAGTTTTTTAACAATTTATCCACAATTTTAGTTTCCCAGGTCTCACTTGTGACAATTTGGGTTCTCCGTATGTACCTTTGTGATTTCTGATTGGTTTAGTTTACTGGATGTCGTATAACGTATTTATTTATGAATATTATTAGATTACTTTTTTGTCAAAATTTTGATGTGGGTATTTTATTTTTCTGTTAAAATTTCTACAAAGTTTTTCCTGGTAAATAATAGTCTAATTTGGTTTCTTGTAAAAACACAACATGGAAGAAGATTCTGTAGCTGGCACGAAATGGGAGTGAAGCAGGGAACGCCATCCCTCTCGAGATTTGGGAGAGTTTTCACCGGAAACGAGAATCTTCCTCGGGAGACGCAGACTCCTCAAACTCTGGGGAATTTCAGGTACTTTTTCCATTCGATACAATCCGAACGCACAGATTTGTGCTTTGTGCACCGCGAGTTCACATCCACAACCACGAGTTCGGCACGTTTTGTACGCTATTTTTTTGAGAAAGTGAAAATTTTGCCAAGATTTGATTCCGATATGGAAAAAAATAGAATTGACATTTCGTGTAAAACATTTTGTAGATGTCCAACGGTTTCTGTGCCTCAATTAATTTAAATTTACTTCACTTTACGTTTTTCCAGAAACTTTAAATACAGAGAGAGTGAAATGTAAAATATAATTTTAAAAATTTTTGATATGGATAAAAATATTTGCAGATTTGAGAGTAAACATTATTTGGAGGAGAAATGCAGATTTTTTTCTTAATTTCCGATTCCTTCAAGTTTCCAGGTACTAAAATCAAAATAAAATGAGACATATTTCAAAATTTTTTGATACTGGGGTACAAATCTTTCAGTTTTGCAGATTTTTTAATGGTATTTTTGATGGAGAAATCCATACGTTTTTCTTAGTTTCTTGACATTTTCAGGGACTAAAATCGAAAAAAGGGATAGTGAAATTTGGACTATTTCAAAATTTAGATACGGATTGAACATTTTTTTGGAAATATTTTCGTATTTTTCTTTGGAATATTTGTAAATGTCGATTGAACCGTTTCTGGAAACATGTACATATGTTTTCAGTGTTTCTCGAAAAAATTCTTGGTTGAGGAAAATCGTAATTTTTTTCTTCTTCTGCAGTCTCTCGGAAGACATGACTAATTTATTTTCTTTCTGCCTTTAGTGGACGAAGAAGAGGAAGAAAAAGAATTTGGCTGCGAGAGAAAGTGAGGAATGAGATCCCTGAGCTCATCAATAAATTTGCTGGAAGAAGACGACTTTCTCCTTGCCAAGTCCTTGAGGAGTTGATCTCTCAGAGTTAACAATCGACCCACGCATAAATAGCCAGACCAGCCACGACTATGGAGAAACCAACCGCCGCCGGATGTGAGACTCCGGCTCCTTCTTAAGACAGACAATGGACTTCGGTATGTATGCAAATAAGTAGAGGAAGAGATGATGGGAAAAGTGAGACTTGTACCTTCTCCGTGTGGAAGAAATTCAGGGTTTGGTTTCTTGTGGGTTTGTTACGTTTCTTGGGGGTGGAATGCGAGAAAAGCAAGAAGTGGAGGTGCAAGAAAGTGGGAGAAAGTGCGAGCAATAAGCGCCGTGGGAAGCATACCTGTTCACATTCATTCATTTGACTGATTTTGATAATGAATGATAGTTCCTGTCATTTGAATGAAAATGATTGAAGGATTCAGTCATTTCGGATGAATGTAAATGAAAGAATTTTTCACTCCTTTCTTTTTTCACCCTGAGCTTAATACATGGGGCGAAGTAAGAAATGAAGTCAGATGAAGTGAAATGAAATGAAATGAAATGAAATGAAATGAAATGAGTTTGAACAAAAATGACTGAATATGAATGAAAATAGTCAGAAATTTAGATGACTGACTTTTGAGTGAAAATTAAATTTTTGAACAGGTATGGTATTATGAACGATGTACAAAGGCCTAGTTTCAATCGGCGTGCATTTCTGGCAGGTAAAAATATTTCCCTGCAAGAAACCACTTTCTCCCTTTATTTCTTGCACGTGGTTACTTTCACCCGAAACACTGGTGGGTGCAGCCCACCGCAAAAGGAGAGAGGAGGACACAACCGCAAATAAACAAGGACCCGGAAGCATTGTTTGTTATTTCGGTAGAAATTTGCCGAGCGAGGAGGAGATAAGTAAAGTAAGTGGAGAAAGATGACGAATTGCGGTGGGGACTGGGAATTGTAAAATTTAGAGAAAGTCTCAAAGTCCCCGTGGTTCCGTTGGTTGGCTGGGTTTGCTCAGCAGTGGTTTATAATTCGGTTAAGAAATAAGGATCACGTTGTTTTTAAAGGGATACGTTTCTTCCTTTAAGGGTACTTACATGTAGGATCACGACTCAAATTTTAAGAATGTAACAGATTGAGTTTCGAAATTTTGAGTCCGAATTTTGAACGTTGGGAAAAGCGAGAGCATTATGAATTCGAGATTTTGTTTAAGTTTGACGCCGCATTTTGAAAATGTTATTAAAAATATTTCATAAAACATTAATCAGGTCATTCAGGTGTCTCCTCTGGATTTGTCATTGCACATTTCAACCCGTACTTAATCCTTTGATTACAAATTTCTAAAATGGCATAAATGTCACGAGTTTGCGCATAAATGCAGATTTTCATGGAAAGTTAATTTTTGGTAGTAAGAAAATCGATTAAAAAAAATAGCCAATTCGTTTGCACTTTTTCACAATCAATTTCCTCAAAAGCGAATTAGCAAATTTTTTAAATCAGTGCCAAAAATTAACGTTACATAAAAGTACGAAAAGTATTGTATTTATTTGAAAACTCGAAATCTTAAATTTTGAGTGTGGAACCAAATTATCTACAAAACTTGTGCATAAGTTTAAAACAATTTACAAAAATCTCTCCCTGGCACCAAACCTTGACTTTAGTAAATTTGTACTTTTCTACTTTAATTATTTTTTCGAGCAAGTATGAAAAATTGCATTTATCTCAAAACTCGTGAAATTGATGGATTTTTAAAAACATTTTAAGATTCTTATAAATTTGCATTTAACGGAGTTAATTTAATAGGGGTTGAAATTTGGAATTTTAAAAAACTATTCCGGGATTATTATTCCACCTTCCACCTTAAGAAATTGAATAAATGTAGATGCATATGTACATTTTGGGAAAAAAGTGGTACAATCGGAGAGTGCTTTCTCCTGTAGCTCGTGACAAAAATGGGGATTATTACCCACTTGGATATTATTTTGAAAATAATAAATTCTGATTTCTTCTCCTTCCCTTTCCTTGGTTTGGGTCTTGTGTAATCTGAGAAATCCCTTGAAAAGCTGTACACACACAACGAATTCCTAGAGAAAGTAGTAAATACACACACTCTAAGAAATCCGGTAACTAGGTTATTGCCAGGCGGAGTATCTATGTGACTCTACCGCATGGTAATTTATTTATTATTGAGTGGTAGACATTTTGTTACCAAACCGGTAATAACCCCGGTCGCAAAATTTGAAAATATTACCAGTTGGTAACTAATTTTCTACCACTCAATAATAAATTAATTACCATGCGGTAGAGTCACATACATACTCCGCCTGGTAATAACTTAGTTACCGGGTTTCTTAGAGTGTACGTAACAGCTCACCAACCACAAAGTCAACCCAGATTAGTGGATGGAGGAGCTTCAAAAAAATCAAAACTTATGCGCCACAACTGTCACACATCTAGAAGGATCCAAACCAGACGGAATGATTCTCTTGGGGTGGAAAAGGTGTCTCCTTCATCCCCCTCATTTTTCGACCTGCAATTACTCACCATTTCCGCACGGCAAAAAATCCATATAAATTTCAATTTGTACCGAAATTTTCGCCCTGATTTTGATGTACAAAAGTGTACCAATGTACAAACATAAATATAATGTCAGTGTGCGGAGCGTGGCGACATGTCCCCAGTGCAAATAAAGTGTGTCCGTCACCATCATAAATATAGATACAGCGAGAGAAATCCAATAATCTCATTCATTGAGACGAAATTGAGACGACAGTATTTATTTATTTGCTTAAAAGGAAGCCAATCTTGATGATGACTCAATCGGACCGATTTTTATTCTTTTTTGAGAGGGGGGGGGGATTATGCGACAGATTAAAGCCTTTTTGAAAATGGGGCACCTTTTATGTAACATAAACTGTTTTTTTTAGTCGTGGACGAATACAAGTGGATTAGTTTTCAGGGTGACATGCAATGCAATCACCTTTAGGAAAAGTTGTGTGAAAAGTATGTCCATTTCGTGTCACATTTTCATGTCTGCTCTGCTCTATCACGAGAAGGATCGGATAATCTCGTAATCATTTGATGAGTTTGGAGTGAGTGAAATAAAATGACAAAAGTTCCAGTTGTAAAACACTTTTTGTTTTGTGTAGTTAGGAAATCATGAAGTAAAATCTAATCGACAGGGTTGGATGGAAAAATCGAAAAATAAGTATTTTGTTAAAGGGGAACATTTGAGTTTGAAAATTTTGATTAGAAAATTTTGAATTTAAAATATCTTATTGAATTTAGATTTTGGCTTGCTTTTAATATTGAGGCTTTAATATTGCTTTTAATTCATGGAGTCCTTGGTAACTTTGTAGAATGGGCAAATTTTGTAAAATAATTTTGCAAACTTTTATAAAATAAAAAGATTTGAGTGAGTTTGCAAAAATCTGTTAGCTAATTTTACTTTGAAATATATATAAAAGTTTGTAAGTTTACTGATTTTACAAAGTTACCAAGAACTGCATGACTTGATTCAATATGTATTTCAGGTAAAGTGTGTACAATTTAAGTCCACGTGTTATTTTTAATATAAATTTTCAAATTGTCGTGTAAATACATAAATCTATTAAGTGAAATAATACATAAATGGAATTATGCTTGGTTAGAGGAGAAAAACATAAACAAATACGCGCCCACAATTGTTGAATGCTAACTCGATAAAAATATACACGCTCGAACGTGCACGAGGCCACGCCACGCGACGCGCCACGTGTACCGGACAGAAAAACACAAAACTTTTAAAGGGAGGGGGAAGGAAGGAGAGTTTGTTTGTCGCATTAAAATTATGAAAGTGCTAATCCCTTAAAAAATGAATGGGAGATCGCATCGAATCTCTCGTCTGTTCGTCTGTGTGTCAAATTGCTTCCTTCCGACGAGCCCTTATCGCAAGGACGATAAGATCTGGATGTACATATGGATGGAGGGATGATGGGAAAATGAATGGAAAATGAATGAAATGCAATCTCGGATCTGCACGATGATGATGATGATGATGCCCTTCTCGGATGTGCTTTTTGTCTCTTTTTATCTTCTTAAATATGTTGCAGGGTAGAAGAGAAATGAAGGGATACATACATACATAGAAGAAGATAAGGTATTTATGTAGATATATACTACATGTGTTTGGGAAGGGGGAAGAAGGGGTAAGGTGAGACAAAGAAGGGGTGAAAACTGGATGGGGAACTATTTATTAGTCTCACAAATTTTGTCTGTTTGCAGATGCGTCGAGTTATTTTGAAGAAAAAATAAGGAATTTATGTACGAATTGCTTTGTAGGAATTTTTAAATTTGTGGGTTTAACAATTTGTATTTAAATACGTCGATCATTGCCAATTTTTGGGAGAGGAATTGGCGAAAACTGAAATGATAATGAAATTGCAACCTCAGTTTCCAAAATTTGTGACAAGTTAATTGAACAAAAGGAAATAATTTTTGGTGGAATTTGGTAATTTTCTTGTCGGTTTAGCAGATGTAATGTCATTGTTAATTGTTAAGAAATTTTAGAAATTCGCAAAAATGGTGCAGAAGCTGACCTCCGTTATCAGAATTATTTGTCAAAAGAGTAATTTTTTTACTGGAATTTAAGTTTGACAAAGTTTAACAATTGGTCGCTAATTTTTAACAAATAATAATCGATGGGGAATCAATTTTCAAAATTTGTCAAATTATTTCTAAAAAATGTTCTTTTTGCTGGAATTTAGTAATTTGCAGGTCTAAAAGTTTAAATGTGGATGTCATTGTTGCAAATTTTCTGCAAATAATGGATGAATGAAATTGAGTTTTCAAAAAAGAAGATGCGATTTGTTTGATCGCATTTATTGCTTATTTATAAATCTAGCAGTTAGTGTCTACATCATCATTGCCAATTTTTAGCACGGGTTGCCCCTGATTTCGCACGGGTTGACCCTGATTTCGCACAGGTTGCGCGTCATTATTATTATTGACATCGTCTTCTGGCGGAATGACGACGACGTTTTCGTTGGTCGTTACCCGCTTCGGGTTTCCAGTGAATCGCCCTTTTTTCGGTTTATTTTCGTTATTATTTGCGCTTTCCCAGACTTCATGTTTTCTGGATTTGACCGGATTTTTGGACGCCAATAATCTCAAAGGTTTCCGCAAATGTTTCGGGATGTCAGATTCACCCAGCCAAATTTGCATTTTCTGATTTCGACAGAGCATAAAGCGCTCTCGGAAACGTTGGAGAAAGCTTAAACAGCTCAGGTTGCTCATGTATCGGTAGGGCAGAGAAGTCGCGATGGACTCAAAGATAAAAATGGATTTTAAATCTTGCGAAATCTCGTTGAGTTCTTCTTCCTCTTGGATTTTCTGAGGTGGGAGAGAAATTATGATGCAAACTTTTAGCAAAAAAGTGTGAAGAGTGGGTAAAAAATACGATATTTTGAGGTGTTTAAGTAAGGATTTGCATTTCCGAGGGTGTTACAACAACAAAAAGACGAGAATGTACGTGGAGAAGACAACAGTCACTCGAAAGTGCATGGTTTCTGAAGAAATCAATTTTTATCGCTGTCAAAATCATTGTTTTCAGGATTTTATTTAAGAATGCAGAAGATTGAAAATGGAGAAAGTCTGTATTTAGGGCATTTTGAGTAAAATTCGATATCTTTCACTTATAAATTTGGAAGGTGTGAATTATTTTTAATTATTTTCGTATTAAAGGTAATTCGCCACTTGAAAATACGTATGTACATAAAGAGAAAGTCGTCGAATTTTACTCAAAATGCTCCAAATGCAGACTTTCTCTATTTTCAATCTTCTGTATTCTTAAATAAAATCGTGAAAACAAATTTTTTTGCCAGGGACAAGAGTCGATTTCTTCAGAAACCGTGCGTTTTCGTGTGACTGTTGTCTTCATGACGTAGATTTTCGCTCATTTGTACGTGTAACAGCCCTGGAAATATTTATAAACCTTTCGCAAAACGGAGCTCAAAATCCTGCATTTTCGCCACCCTGCTGGAAGAAATTTGAAAATGCGAGCTGTGTGAATTAATTTACCTTTGTGTCCGCGACGACGAAACCGATAAGGATGCGGAAAAGGAGTAGGATGAGGAGGACATAAAAGACGATGAACATGATAAAACCGGACGTCTCGAACTGGGTGTCGACCCCGATTTGGTAATTATTCCCTTCCGACCATTCCACCTTCCCGTTCGCGATACTTGCAAAAACTTCCATCAACGCGTCACGGAAATCTTTCAGGGCTGGGTTAATCTATGCATTTGAATATTGCGAATTACTGCGGATCTGCAGTTTTTTTGAGGGATTGTAAATCTATAAGTTTGTTGAAGGATTGGCAATTTTATATTTTTTAATGATTTTAAAATTTTTGGGAAGATTATTTGAGGGATTAGGAGTTTTTATTTTTTTGCGATTTTAGGGATATTCAATTTTTTGGGGGGAATTTAAATATTTATTTACGTACCGTGGGGAAGAGCATTCTGAGGGAGACTGAAAAGGCCAACATGATGAAGAGAAAGAGTGGAAGGATGGCGATAAAGCGTTCCACCACCTTCAAAAAAATAAGAGAAATTATCCAAAACTTAAGAAATGTGCGTAAAATAAATTGGTAACAAATTTGTCATCGTGTTGGTTGCATTAACCATGAAAGCAAAAAACCATAGAGGGTATTCATTACGAGTTGGGATCGTTAGCTATGTACATACGTTAGCAAAATTTGAAAGTTCGGTTAAATAATTTTGGTTTGTGAAGTCATGCGCGAATTTGTGCATTTTCAATCCAATTTTAGCAGTTAAATAGTTCGCTAATTATTTTTTCGCGGTGGGAACATGAATACCCCTATTGTTTTAAAGAAACTAGAATTTCTGGGTGAAGAATTTGGAAGTTCCATCAATGCGATAGAGTATCATGCTTAAATAGTGATACACACACGGTGATAATTTTGTTACCAATTGCTTAGTAAATCTGAGAATACCCCGGCACACACTCACCTTGATTAAAACTCTGAGATAGATTGCCCAGTAGATGTGTTTATTCACAATTTCCAAAATGACCAAGGCTCCAATCGCAATCGTAAACTAATTATAATAATTTGCATAATTAGTTAACTTTGATGAATATTTGCAATGCTAAATATTTGCATAGTATACCGCTGCGAATTGGAACTGGACTTTGAAACTGGCCTCCGTCGGAAACAGGGTGACGAGGAGGAAGAGAGTGAAAACCCACAAAAAACAGTTTTGAATCTTGAGATAAGCCTTGTATAAAATCACCGTTTTGAAGCCGATCGTGAAAATGACGTAAATCGTGAAGAGTAAAATTGGCACGAGGCGAATTATGGAATTGCTATTTTTTGCACAGTCCATCACACTCGTTCGGGCAAGGTCGGCGTCGGCTAGAAAAATTTTGAAAATTTGATATGCGAATTTGGAAAAGATGAGATGAGAATTTACAGAAAAAGTACTTCATGACGATAAATTTTGAAAATTTTAGGCGCAAATTTATACATAGAAAAAATGTAAAAAGGGGTGCTTATGAATTTGAGCCTATGAAATGCGAATTGGGAAATTTGAGATTTGACTTTATAAAAAAGACAATGAAAAAGTGTACGTTATTTCCAATAATTTTAAAAGCGGTGGATATGCAAATTTAAAAATTTGAGATGCGAATTTGAAAATTTGAAATACGAATATTAACGTTGAATTTATAGAAAAAAGTACTTCGTGCCTAGAAATTTTGAAAATTTTAGGCGAAAATTTATATCAAAAATGTAAAAATGTAAAACGGGTGCTTTCCCCGCAGTAATTTTGAAAAGCGAATTTGAGAATACGAAATACAAATTTGGAAATTTGAGATATGATTTTATAAAATGAGACAATGAAAAAGTGTACTTTGTTTCCAATAATTTTGAAACTGGTAGATATGCGAATTTGAGATGCGAATTTGAAAATTTGAGATGATATTTTTATAGGAAAAATGTTGAAAAAATTTGCATACTTTGTGTCCAGTTTGTACTTGTGGTCATAATTTCTAGCGTGAATGGGAATTGGGAGCAGTAGACGGCTTGTGGTTGCGAGAATAAGGGTTGAACATCCGTCAAAGCACTTTCACAGCAGTCGTAGTACACGTCAATTGCATGCCAAACGTACAAACTGATCCATAAAAGCTGTGCAAAAAGAGATAAATTTATGAGATTTCGCGTAATTTACAAAAAAAATTGCGTAATTTTTATGCACAAATCTGTACAATTTATGTGCAAAAATGTATAGGATTATTTTTTCTGTAAGCACTTTTCTCCCAAAACATCCTTAGTTTGAGTTCCGTTTATTACATAAAATGTGCGAATTTTTTTGCATAAATTCGCCCGATTACCTAAACCTTTCTCCCAAAAGTCTAGATGTTTTTTAACAAAATGTGCTTATTGTTTTTGCACAAATTCGTCCAATAACTGGAAATCATCTCCCAACAAATCCGAAGCTTAATTGTGCAGTTGTTTTTAAAATAAAATGTGCGAATTTTTTGGCACTAATTTCTACCTTAAGGATGATGGAGGTCCAAATGAGAGTCAATAATTTGGTGAATTTTTTCTCGACGAAAAACCTGACGAGGGGATGAGTTAAAATTTCTTTGCGAACTTTGGTCTCATTTTCGTTAACACTGTTTAAGCAAGCGGCTTCCCTGTACAAGGCGGACTGGATGGTGTCACTGATCTGCTGATCCCCTTCGTCGTCATCTCGGTCCGTCATGTTCCCAATTATGGCACTGATTAGAAGAGAAATATTGAAAAATATTTTAAAGTAGGACTTGATGACTTATCACCAAAATCAGCACGTTTTTAATCATCATGTCTCGGGTCCAGGAATTTATTTTAAAATTTCTGGACGACAAATTTATGGTCAGTAACTTGATTAGTGGTGAGTTTTTTATTTTGTTTCGATGCGTCCCAATTTTTCTGAAGTTTTTTTAACTTGAGATCTCCTTAAAAAATGTCAAAATATGGAGTGGATATGCTTAAAAATTGGGAACGACCTGCTCTACAAATTTGTAGTCCAGAATTTTCAAATAAATTCCCAGGAGGGAAAAATGATTAAAAATGTGCTGATTTGAGCCCTACATTAATTAGTCCTATGTTAATTTTGTAAAATTCTGAAATGGAAATATTAGTTACGTGAAATCTAAGCAATAAGATCGTTCCGTTTTGGTGAAAGTTTCCGAATCGATTCCATAATCGAAGGAGACGCTTCGATTGAGCAGTTCCGTGACGGCGGAGGGTGTCTTGGAATAAATCAGTTTTAAGGCTTGCGTCCCATCACGTGATCTGCAAAAATAAAATTGCAAACTGCGTGAAAATCTACCTTTATTAAAAATGGGTTATTTTTCTTCACATGCAGATCATATTTTGCTTGAAAATTTTCTAAATTATGTACGTTTCAATCTGAAAATGCGATTGTGTAAAATAAAAATCTGCTAAAATTGGCGTATTTTTATTCAGACTGAAATTTTTTAAGGAATTAATTTCACTCTGCACGAAGTTCATGATTAGAAATCTTGTAAAATAGAAAAAAAATGTAGCTTATTTTGATTCCATATAAATTTTGCACGGTTCGTTCTGCAAAAAAAAAATTGGCAAAATTCTTAAAAAAACTCTGGCATTTCTGACATTTTTGAACAGTATTCATGCATGTTGCTGATTGTGCAGATTTTCCGCAGTTCGATTTTTGCCAACAAAAGTTTGCAAATATAATTATCAAATTACACGGCCATGACGTCCGCGGAATGGAGGAGGAGTGTCGTGACGATGTTTGTATTTTCATTTCTGGCTGCGAGGTGGAGTGCCGTTTCGCCCTTGGTGTCCTTGGCGTTGATGAAGTGAATCGTCTCCTGACAATCGTCCCCCTTCCATTGTTGACGACGGACGCGTTGGGTCTGCCGTCGGACGGCGATGTTAACAAACGTCTCCTTCCTCTCACCCTCAAGATCGTTCAGGAATTTCAGGATGAAAGTGACGCATTTTTCACAGCCGGCAAAATTTACTAAAAAAAAGATCGCATTAAAATTTGGCTGATATTAAAATGTGGATTTTTTACTTTTTCAAAATTTATTGAGTCACTAAATTATAATTTGTCTTAGTTTTCATATCATGCAAAATTTACTGAAATATGTCATCAAAATTTGTCACCTACTAAAATGCACAGTTTACACGGCAGAAAGATTTACTAGAAATGTGTATATTGCCAAATTAGCGTAGGACTAGATAGTTCATTGCTAAAATCGTGGAAATCAGTAAATTTTTAGTCATTTTTCGTCTCTTTTTGAATTTATTTTAAAATTCTGGACGAAGAATTTGTCGAGAAAGGAGTTGCTAATTAAAAAAAATATACGTCAGATTTTGACACGTTTTGGCGGAGGGGATCTCAAGTTTAAGAAGCCTTCAGAAAAATTGGAACTCGTCGAAACTGACTTAAAAAACTCACTAAAATCGTCAAAATCAATAGATTTACATAATTTCTCGTGTCTGGGAACTTATTTTAAAATTCTGAGCGACAAATTTGTAGTCAGTGAGTAGTTAACTACTCAACGCCATTCCATTAATCAATTGATTGAACCAGTTTCGATTTTTCTGAAGGTTTATTAATTCTGAAAAATTGGAAATCGTTGAAACTAGCTGAAAAACTCACCACGATTCCATTAATCAATACTAACTGACGTTAAATTTGTCGTTCAGAATTTTAAAATAAATTCCCAGAGGAGAGAAATGATTAAAAATTCACTTATTTAGTCGATTTTTGTGATGAGTCCAACGTTAAAATTATTGGTTGAGAAAATTCAGAATTGTCTCACTTTACCTCCAACGGCCGAGTAGTGAAGGATCGTACGTCCACTGAAATCGATCCGACTGATTTGTTTCACGGCGGAGGTGGGGTGTGCCTCCAGGTATCTTTTAAGCTCCTCAAAATCCCCCACTTTCGCGAGATAGTGCAGTGGAAACGTTTCCTGGAGGGAGAATCCAGGAATATCCGTGGATTTACCGGTCATTCTGGGAAAAACTTTGTGTTCGCCTTAATATTTTAAGAAAATTAATGCGCAAGTGGCATGGTTAAATATTTTGTCAAAATATACAGAATTTTGAGCTCTGTTATTCGGATTTCCGGGGTTATCACACCCACAAAACACAAAAATCTACGAAGACAGCAGTCACATGAAACTACAGGTTTTGAGGAAAAACTGATTTTTATCGCTATCAAAATGCACTGTTTTCACGATTAAAATTACAGTACTTAGACAGTTAATTTGCAAAAAAATTTGTAAGTTTCCAAAATTTCCGGGGCTGTTATACTCACAAAGAAATGGAAATCTGCGAAGAAAAGACAACAGCCGTACGAAAATGCAGGGTTTGTGAAGAAATTAAGGTTTTCTCCTTGTCAAAATACTTTTTTTGATAAATGCAATTTTTTATAAATTTGTATTTATTTTGACATCGATAAAACGATAATTTCATCAAAAAACCTATTTTTTTCATACGACTGTTGTCTTTTCCATGTAGATTTTCGTATTTTTGTGGGTGTGACATCCCCTGGAAATTTAAACCCTGGGAAAAACCGAGCTCAAAATCCTGCAAGGTATTTTACCCACCCTTGATAATTAAAACTAAATAATGATTTATTGAAGTATATAAATTCAAGTTTCTTATTAAAAAAGACAGATTTGTTGACAAAACGGGTCTCAAAAATGGTACTGGCTCACGATCTGATTGGACATTTGGTTATTATGGACACGATCTCGAACGAATGAATTGAACAATGGAATCAATCAAGATATTGGCGATATTAAAAGAACACTTGTAAATTAATCGTGATAATTCCAATCTAGGTCAAAGTGAGACAAGGTCAATAATTCTGACTGAACGAACTGAAGGGATTTATTTAGGCTTAAATTTGTATATTTTTATTAGGTGAGGTGCTATATAAAATCGCTTTAGAAATTCAAATTTCTAAAATAGATCATCAATTTCAGAATTTTGAGATAATTGAAACTTATCATAGTAAATTTGGGAAAATTATCCTGAAAATTATCAGTAGTTTGAAGAGTTTTAAAATTAATTTTTGATTAAGCGAGTATCTCAAATTTAAAATTTTTGTATGACTTTTGTTGAAAATTTTATCAAAAATGTGGCCAAAAACGTTATTCAGATGTGTGAAAATTAGTAATCATGTTTGGTTTAAAATTAAGGTCCTCCCATCCCCAATTCAATTAATCTCTTTAAATGCAAATTTCTAAAATGACATCAATTTCATAAGATTTCAGATAAATGCAACTCGTCATACTGTAATGTAAAGCTACTTTTTGGCATTACAAAAGTATTCATTAAAAAAAATTGCTAATTTATTTTTGAGGAAGTTTATTGTAAAATAAATGACAAATGAGGTACCAATTTTTTTAATCGATACTTTTGTAGTGGCAAAAATTACAACTTTATATTAAAGTATGAAAAGTTGCATTTATCTAAAAACTGATGTCATTTTAGAAATTTACATTACTCAAAGACTATGAATTGTGGCAGAGTGAGAGTATAAAAAAATCTATTAATTATGAAGTTATTCCACCTTAAGTAAGGAATGTATAACTTCATCTCGGCTCCAATTTGTCAATTTGCCAATTTGGTAAATTTGTCAATTTGCCAATTTGGTAAATTTGCCAATTTGCCAATTTGGTAAATTTGCCAATTTGCCAATTTGGTAAATTTGAAATCTTTTTAATGATCTGATCGAGGTTTTAAGAACGATTTTTAATACAATATTCAAAATTCGGAGTCAAACTTAAACAATTTATAATTCCCTCACTTTTGTCAGTGTTAAAAATGCAAATACGGTAAAAATTTTAGTAAAAATTTTGATGCCAAACCTGCATCCTCATAATTAACTTGCAATCTTGACATTACCTAAGTTAACCGACTTTTTTCTGAATTATTCACTTATCTGCCTGACTTTTGAATTGTATCAAAATCACTTTATTGTCATCGCTAATCATAAAAAAATGCTTGGTATATACATACAAAGTTATATGTTCATGGAAGCAGCAGTGGCCGCGGAAGCTGTGGGGACATCGGGGGATATTAACATGATTGGATAGAGGGGATTCCGGGGTTTATATAAAATGGACAGATGATGTGGACATTGAACAACCGTGGGGACATTGTCCCTCTGTTCCCACCCACGCTTCCGCGGCCACTGGTAAGCAGCAATCCGACCCAGCAACCTGGACGTGATAAAGGATTTATTTATTTCCAGCCATGTCCTTATGCAATTGGGCAGTGCGAATGCCTCGCTATATGCGGACGGACTGATAAGCCACAGAAATGTTGTATATTTTATTCGGAAAAAGTTGTAAAGTTTTGGCGTCAAATAGGTTAAAATTATGTTTTGCAAGCCTATTTAACATTTAAAGATCTAATACAGTGTGTGGGATTTTAATAAATTGCAAAATTTTCAATGCATACATTCTATTTTCTTGCACACGAGCCAAATTAGTAATGAGATCCGCTTGATTGATTTATTATCATAATTTTATGATGTGGTGAATAATTGCAAAAGCCACGGAAATAATTTATATTATAGTCGCAAAAATTGTAAAGATTTGGCGTCAATTGTGCTAAAACTGTGCAGTTTTGGGATAACATTGCAAATACAGATACATTTGCCTTTGTGTACTTTTAAAGATCCAATTTTAAGGGTGACCCGACCAATGTGCAAAGACATTTGTGCAAACGATAAATGTGCAACCTGACAAATGTGCAGCCCGATAAATGTGCAAACGATAAATGTGCAGGGAATTATCTCTAATCATCACGTTTCAAAATAAAATGTTTTTTTGGAATTTTCCAACAAATAATACAATAATCTCTAATATATTTATGCATGGGTTCATTTCCTACTCGGTTTATTTTTATCCCTATTGTTCATTTCTTTCCACTACACCAACCTTTTTACTCAATAAACTTCCAGTCCATACTTAATACACGTTTCTTGGTATTGTTTCCTTCATTCTACTTCTTGGAAAACTGAGACTGAGGTCCTATAAAAGGCCAGTTTTTTTTGGTTTGAACAACATTCGAGTTCTCCTGTTCCTCTGACGTTCAGAACCATGGCCCAGTCTCCACTCCAAGAAATTGAAACCCGAAGTCCTGGATTGATAGTTTTTCCATTCGCCAGTGGCAAAAATTACGCAGCTACTCTGAACGGATTTTATTACGTTCATCATTCTTCCGGTCTCCAGAAACACACAATGCGGTGAGTTTGTAATCTCTATCAGCTAACTTAGGAAATATTACATGGCGAAGTTTCACATATTTATGTAACGATTTTTTTATTAATTGACAACCATTCTGTTTTCTGCGTCTACAGGTGTACCCGACATCACAAGGGCTGCCACGGGAAGATTAACTTGACCCCATCCTATAAATCGCTGATTTCGGAGACAATGACGGGACATAAGACCCACAGCCATCCAGCTGAGCCAACCTACTGCGAACGCAAATACGCTGCCTGGAAGTTGAGATCTACGGCCAAGTCCAGCAGAGACCCTACATCGGCCATTGTTGCACAGCAACTGCAAAGTGTCCCAGTTGAAGTCCAAGGGTCCTTCCCCAAACTCAGTTCTTTGCAAAGGGTCGTGCAAAGATCTCGAGCTGTATAGGGATTTCCTATGATAAATGGGACAAACCGTGCTGATCTTCCCTTGCTTAATGGACTTTTCTTTACGTCAGCTAAGGAAGACTTCGTGAAATGGGATAGCGGGAAAAATCATGACCGGATTATTTTATTCAGCACGGATTTCAATCTAGACTGTTTTCAAAATTCAGCCCATTGGTTCGCAGACGGAACGTTCCGAACTTCTCCACTTTTATTTGACCAACTTTTTGTCATACACGGACTTCGAGGAGATGGGCATAACACTATTAGCGTCCCATTAGTGTACTGCCTCACACCCAACCGAACAGGTGCCACATATGGGCGAATTTTCAGTAAGCTGAAAGAGCTAAGGTCTGGCGTAAGCCCCTTATCCGTTAAGGATTTTGAACAGGCATCAAGCAATGCGTTTGCGAAATATTTTCCCGATGCAGAACAGAGATCTTGTTTCTTTCACCTCCGGCAGGCTAACCATCGCCACATACAACGCGATTCCGAGTTGCTGAAAAAGATGGCCGACGGACGCTTCAACTTGCATGTCAGGACTCTGATAGGGCTTGCCTTTGTCCCACCTGCCGACGTTGTCGCGGCTTACGACGAGTTAGACGCAAGCCCATTTTTCTTGGAAAATAAGGACGTCCTTGACTCATACATGGACTATTTTTTGAATACCGGGATTGGCGGATTCGATCGTCGTGGAAATAGGAAGAAACCACATTTCCTGATTCCTCTGTGGAACTGCCGAGACGCTGTATTACAGGGACTACCAAAAAACAGACTTGACTGATGAAAGAGAGAAATATATTGTGATTTTTGCTAAAAAAAATTCTGCACATTTATCGTTTGCACATTTATCGTTTGCACATTTATCGGGCTGCACATTTGTCTGGCTGCACATTTGCCGTTTGCACATATGTATTTGCACATTTGTCGTTTGCACATTTGTCTTTGCACAATTGTCACCCCATCATTTTAAGACAAATTGCAAATATCTAATTTGCATATGCATGTACACGTATCTCTTTTCGTGGACGAAGCAAATTAGTAATGAGATCCGGTTGATTGAATCATTTCATTGGAACGAAGCGTCTTCAAATTTCGGGAGCAGCGATCACAATTTGATTGAGAAGAGCAATAATGATTAAGTGACTTGGGTCGTCTGTAAAACGATTGGACCACATATGCTCTCATTTGGGCCTTTGTTTCTGCATCGAATCGGCCAAAAACAATCTGGAGTAGCAGGTCTCATTTCAGGGCAGCCAAGTCACGGAAATGTTATATATTTTTGTCGAAAAAATTGTAAAGTTTTGACGCTGAATGTGGTAGAATTATATTTTGAAAGTCTACTTATCATTTAAAGATAGAAAGACATTCAACTGCTTGTTATGATTTTAAGACAAAAACAAAATTTGCAAATATTTATATTTTAGTCGGAAACATTTGTAACTTTTGACGCCAAAATGGTTAAAATTATATTTTGTAGTTCTCTTCAGTATTTAAAGATCTTTAGCTTCATTGAGGGTTGTAAAACAAATCTAAAATTTTCAATGGATATGCATCTCTTTTCGTGTACAGGTACATGAGCTAAATTAGAAAAGAGATCCGGTGTAAAGTTTTGACTTCAGATGTTTTAAAATTATATTTTGCAATTTTATTTAGCATTTAAGGATCTTTAGGCTTTTCTAGGATTTTGAGACAAATACATAATTTGCATATGCACACATCCCTCCTAGTACATGAAACAAATTAGCAATGAGATCCAGTTGATTGAATCATTATCACACTTTTTTAGTTGTAATGAATAATTGTAAAAGCCATTAGTCTGATGAATTAGGCAGTTTTGGCGTCAAATGTGCTAAAATTGTATTTTGGAATTCTATTCAGCGTTTTAAAATTATTTTAGACAAATACATAATTTGCATATGCATACATCTCACTTAGGGCTCATGTACACAAACCTAACTACGTTTGATTGAATCATTGTCACCATTTTTGTCGTTGTACTGAATAATTACGGAAATGTTTTATACTTTAGTTCGAGAAATTGTGCAGTTTTGGCGTCAATTGTATTAAAATTATGTTTTGTAAGTCTATTTAGTATTAAAATGCAACTCTTTCTCTCTCAGGGTATGTGATTTTAAGACAATTACAAAATTTGCAATGCACCATATGCACAGATCAATTTTCGTGTACGCGAACAAAATTCGTAATAAATTCCGGCTGATTAAAATATTGTTATAATTTTTTGCTGTTCTGAATCAATTGTAAAGTTTTGACGTCAAGTGTATTAAAATAATATTTTACAAGTGTACTTAGCATTTAAAGATCTGAAAAGTTCTTCCACTTTATCCAGTCAATTTTTAGTGTGTTTTGTCCCAAAAAATCCATCCAATCCGTAATCCATTTATTCGGGTTCATCCCTCCTGGTTCCAATAATAATAAGATCCGGTTGATTGAATCATTGTCTAGATTTTTTGCGTGCTGAATAATTGTAAATGACATACAAATATTTAATATCTTACAATGCGATGGCGTGAAGTGTAACCCTCCGATTTGGTTGAAATTTTGAAATTACGTGGTCCAAGTCAATACAATCAAATTTCTTGAGGCAGTTTGTGCGATGGTCAGAATTTGAGAAAATATTTGAGGTTAAAGTTGAAAAATAGGCGATTTTTAGCACGGGAAGGGAATGGAACTTGAGTTTGCTTCCTCCGCCTGGTATAAATCGCCCGTTTTTCAACTTTGCCCTCAAATATTTTGGCAAATTCTGACCATCGCACAAACCGCCTCAAGAAACGTCGTTTGCATTGACATGGACCACGTAATTTCAAAATTTCAATCAAATCGGAGGGTTACATTTCACACCGTCGCATTGTTAGTCGGAACAATTTGTAAAGTTTGGACGGCAAATGTGTAAAAATTATTTTATGGAAGTCTATTTAGCATTTAAAGATCCTTTGTCTGGAGTATTTGTAATCTTTGATTTTAAGACAAATAAAAAATTAGCAACGCATACACATCTCTCTTTCCGTGTACACCACTCAAATTAATGATAAGATCGAATTTTAACTGAATAACTCTGTCACTAGGTTTTTGCTGTGCTGAACAACTGTGATAGTTACGGACATATTTAATATTTTAGTCGGAAAATTTGTAAAGTTTTGACGCCAAATGTGTTAGAATTGTACTTTGCAAGTTTATTTAGCATTTAAAGATCAATAAATTTGAAAAGGTTGATGTGATTTTAAGACAAAAACAAAATTTGCATGTGCACAGACAAATCTCTGTTCCACATGGACGTATATACACACGAACCAAATTAGTAATGAGATCGGGTTGATTGAATCATTTCATCATTTGAACATTTAGCATTTAAAGATTCAAAGATTTTAAAATTCCGGTGATTTTAAGACAGAAGGAAAATTTGCATGCGCAAACAAATCCATTTTCCACGTGGGCGTATGTACACAGAAGAAAAATTAGTAATAAGATCCGGTTGATTGAATCATGACGCGTCCTCAAATTGGGAGCAGCGATCAGATCGCAATTTGATTGAGAAGAGAGAGGAAGAGCAATAATAAATAAGTGACTTGGGTGGTGGTGGGGTCGTCTGTTGGACCACATATGCTCTCATTTGGGCCTTTGTCTCCGCGTCGAATCGACCAAAAAGGCAACAAGTAATCTGGAGTAGCAGGTCTTATTTCAGCCACGATACACACGACAGGACAACAACCTCTCGCATAATCGAATCAAAAATGGGTTGGATTGAAAGGGACGATGTATGTATGTTCTTTTTTTTGGGGGGGATGGTGATTTTTGGTGAACCCTTTTATGGGGATGTTGTGTCCGTCTGGAGGATGATGTCTGTCCGTGGATGGAGAATGGCTTTGGAATGGATGAGAATTCTTGATTGCAGTTTTGTGAAAAATGTGGTTCTATTTTTTAAAGAGAAATTTGGATATGGAAATTTATGTGTCAGAAATATGTATATTTTTAGAGAGGAAGTTTTAAGTAGTTTTAGTACCAACCGTATTTTCGGGTGGGGATTTCAAAAATTCTAGATTATTTCGACCCTCTAATTGTGCAGATGAGGGAGAAATTTGGAAACTTAAATTTGGGTTTTAAAATCACGTTTCACCCTTTTGCTACATTTCGTAGTTTATTATTCTTGGGGATGAATCATTCCTTTCCTCGGAAATATCAAGTTTGATCCTTGTTTTTGAAAACGGGCAGATTTCTGGATCCAATTTGACCCTTTTTGTTTCGTAGTGAATAAAAATGTGTGGAATTGAATTGCGGTGGAGGAAAAATTATACTTCCTCCTCTTCTGCCCATTAATCCTTTTGTGTGCAGGGGCGCAGCAGTCTGTCCAGTCGTAACGTTTGGTGGCTCATATTCTATTCCATTATATTGTTGGATCTGGATGGAGAAGAGGAGTCGATAAATTAGGAGAGAGAAAGAGAAAGGACCTCGGCCCCAGGCTTGATTAAGTATTAACGAGCTACGAGTTTGTTCTATTTGTGCGAAAAAGGATGTATGTATGACAGCAGGTTGATTTTTTTGGTGGGGGTAGAAAAAGAAAGATGCGATTTTTCAGATTTTTGGGGGTAAAGTTTAAGAAATTAGAACCTGCGTATCTGCATTTTTCTGATTAATTGATTCACAAAATAACAAATTAGTTTTGTCGTTAAACATGACAATTTCCGGATTTTATTGTTTTAATTATTTTAAAAATATTTGAAGACAAGATTCCCTTTTATTTAAGAAACTTTTGATTGAAGATGCGTAATTACAAGAAAATCCATTAATTCTGAGACGTATTTACGACGCGGGGTTAGATACGAGTTTGTTCTATTTGTGCGAAAAAAGATGTATGATATAGCGGTGGATCGAAGTCAACCGGACAGGATTTCTACGCGCCAAAATCACGTGCCCATTTGATTAACATTGGAGGCGGGCCGAAATTGCAGGTTTATTTCTTGGTGGGGCTAAAAAAGGAAGAAAGAAGGATGCGATTTTTTAAAGATTTTTGGGGTGAAAATTCGCATACTTCGAAATGAAGCTGCGATTTTGATGTTAATTAAATGATTTAATAAAACTTGATGACATTGAACCATGAAAATTTCTGGATTTGATTATTATATAACAGGTTTAGCAGGTTGAATTTTATGGTAGGTTTGGTGGGGCTTAAAAAAGAAATAAGCGATTTTTTTGAGATTTTTTTTGTATGAGGTTTATCAACCACTTCGAAATGAATACGTGGGTATCTCGCTTTTCTGATTAATTTGATGAAAAATAAAAATAAAGTTGTGTCGTCAAACAGTGACGTTTTTGGTATTTTGACAAATTAAAAAAATAATTTTAGAAAAATAATTTTAGAAAAATAATTTTAGAAAAATAATTTTAGAAAAATAATTTTAGAAAAATAATTTTGTTCTATTTGTACAAAAACTTTTTATTAACGTCCGCCATGACCACCTAATTTTTTGTGGCTAGTTTAATGACAAAATAAGAATTAAATTTTGTCGTTAAACAATGACAATTTGTGCATTTTGTTTTAAACATATTTTTAACACGAGGTTTCTGGATTTTTATTATTTTATGGCAGCAGGCTGATTTTTTGGTGGGGGTAAAAAGACGTGATTTTTTTATTTATATTTTTGGAATTAGAAATCGAATACTTCGAAATGGAAACCCACATATTTGCATTTTCCTGGTTAATTGAATGATAAGATGAAAATTAAGTTGTGTCGTGAAATAGTGACATTTTCAGAATTTTATTTTTATTATTTTTATTTAGAAAAAAATTTAGCACGAGGTTTCACT